TCCCTTTCCAGCTTTTCAACTTCTTTCTGAAGTTTCGTCTGAGTTTCTTGAGCTGCCAGCCTCTCTCGTTTCAAATTTGAGATTTCTTTCGCGGCGGCCTCAAGCTTGAGTTTGAGTTGTCGATTTTCCTCCCTTGCTTTATTTCTCTCGGCGCGAACTTTACCCCATTTTTCTCGCCAGTTTGCGGTGCAATCCGACCACCATCGCATTGTCTTTTCCATTTGGCTAGCTCTTGCTCGAGCTTCTTCTAGCTCCCGTTCTCTTAGTTCATCTCTGGCGTCCAAATCATCTGTTACTGTAAAGGGAATTGGAAGATCGCCCGCAGACTTTGCCTTCTCGTGTCGCGTAGGGTTTACAGCTTGAACTTGTACGCCGGCGCCGTTAATATTCATGCTGAGCTCAATTAATCGTAGTAACTTTTGTGAAATTTCAAGGAGCTTACGGCCAGCAAATTGCCCAAGTTACAGAGATAACTATAACCTCCAAATACTGTTATGTCTTTCGTTACAAAGATCCTGAACTTTCCTTGAAATAAGTTTGAGCTTGATTTTCAAACACTTCGCCTGACGGCCAAACGTGAATTAATCAATAGTCTGCACTCCACCGTTTCAAATCACGATAATGAGTTAACAAAAACTGTCAGAGCATAGAAGTTAATATGTTTACATCATATCTCAATCAGTTTGTCAAGGTGGCTGTCAATTCAGCAATCTCCCGCTAAAACTCCAGCGATTACCATCTCCAATCTGCCGTTCACGCCAGCGATGGCGGAGGTTGATAGTGTTGATGTATGCAATCACAAGTTGTAGTTCACACGTAAATCAGTTAGTTGAAGACCACGAGGAACAAAATGATTAGCCGGTTCGCTAAACGTTAATGGCTGACCTCAGTACAAGGTCAAAGAAACAAAAACAAACATTAGCGCAAAAGGTCTCATGTGCGCCGCCATTGTAGTGGCCGTTTTGGAGCTTCTTGAGGGTGTCAATCAATCGCATACCGGAAGTGTACTACCTTCGCAATTTTCACATCTTCCGGTTCTGTGGGGAAAGTAGCTAGAAAACGGACATGCAAAAAATCCATTTCTCTTTTAAAAAATCGAAACATCATCAAAGTTATGTGACCTACTAGCCTAGGGGACGAATGAAATAACCTTTTTACATTGTAGTCAATGAAAGCGAATGAAGCTTAGTCTAGGTGACATAAAAATCTCATGTTTTTAACTTTAGACAGGAGCCTTTAGAGCCACTTGCATTTATCAAGTCGTTAAAGAAAGACGATAATAAATAATGCGATTAATTAAAAAGGTGTCAAACGAAGTTTTTGCACAAAAAAGCATGTAATCAGGTGAGAATGTACGCAGTCAAGTGTGCCGTCAAGTGCGCTAAGGGAAAGTTCATTTAATATGACAACGGGGGGCGATGAAGATATTGAGGGGGGGCTCCGAAAATTTTTAGACACCCGAAGGGGGGCTCTGAAAAAATTGTTGCGCTGGGAGGGGGGGCTCCGAAAATTTGTATACTTCAAAACCAACACATGACAGATCGGATGGTTTTCAACTCAACAATTTAATGACCTGTGCAACTCTGCTATATCACGTGGTTTACAGATATAACAAATGTAGTCTCAGTAATTATTACACTCTTGTTCATCCCAAAAATGCTTTAGAAAATTGTATAACAACTGTATCTAAATTTTGTCATAGTATAAACCATTGAAGACAATAACGGTAAATATATTTAATACAGTCTAGCGATCTTTTTTCAGGGGAGCAAAGGAATTGAAGGAGGAGGGGGTGGGGGGCTCTGAAATTTTTTCGACTACCAAGGAGGGGGCTCCTAAAAAATTGAACCGCTAGCGAGGGGGGCTGCTAAAATTTCAAGCTTCGAGTTTCAATATCTTCCTCCCCCCCCCCCCCCCCTGGTCATATTAAATGAACTTTCCCTAAGCAGTAGCCTGCGAGCAAGCTAGGCGAGTCGCTCGCGCGTTCTCGCGAGGCTCGCTTCTCTAGCCCAAATATGCCAAAAGGGAGATGAGATGTGAAAATACTAGCTGTAACGAAACATTCAGTTTTCAAGGTTCTGTTGCTAGTGATTAAACCTCATCTAAAACGCTCCTGATGAAATGAAAATAGTTGAATTTTCTGTCTCTTTGTTTTTTGAGAAGATCAGAGAAGAGACTGGATCTAGTAATTCTCTCGAACATCAGGACGAGGCACGATAAACATAACATGGCAGCAAAAAACGAGAAAGGTTCTTGCTATCTTCCAGAGGAAATTTGGTTCCATGCGATTTCATACCTTACAGCTGTTCAAGATATTCTCCATCTAGGATGTACATGTAAAAGGCTCTACGAATTAACAAACGAAAACATCATTTGGCGAAGGCGTCTTAAAGCTGACAATCGCCATCTGTTGCTCCTCCCTCGAACTTCTACATCATATTCCGTCAATCGTGCTTATGTCGCTGGCAGCACTAGTGACAGCAATGAAGTTTTAGAAGATGAACCGGGTATCTGGAAAAAGCTTTATCTAAAGGCAAGTCATGCTATGTCATTTGGAAATAGGCACCACAGGGGTTTCTCAAGTCTTGCTGGAGAAAGATTGTGTGCTGAGTTTGTGGTGAACCCCAGTGCAACTAGGGTTAATGGCATTCGATTTGATGACCAGGCCCCAGTGAAACAGAGCGTAGAAATGTGGGTAAAGCTAAATAAGAAGAAACCTGATGGAATCATTATAGGATGCCAGAGCGAATCAGTAAGGTATAGCCCTGAGTAGCTCTGTGATCATCCACATTTTCCCTATGTTAAATTTNCAATGAAGTTTTAGAAGATGAACCGGGTATCTGGAAAAAGCTTTATCTAAAGGCAAGTCATGCTATGTCATTTGGAAATAGGCACCACAGGGGTTTCTCAAGTCTTGCTGGAGAAAGATTGTGTGCTGAGTTTGTGGTAAACCCCAGTGCAACTAGGGTTAATGGCATTCGATTTGATGACCGGGCCCCAGTGAAACAGAGCGTAGAAATGTGGGTAAAGCTAAATAAGAAGAAACCTGATGGAATCATTATAGGATGCCAGAGCGAATCAGTAAGGTATAGCCCTGAGTAGCTCTGTGATCATCCACATTTTCCCTATGTTAAATTTAAAATAGAGCAACTACAGAATCTGACATCACTGAAGCGTAAGCATAATGTTAGTGTTTAAGTCGTGTTTTATGACACTTCTATACTATTCTTGAGCAATCCTGTAAAAATTCATTTAGTTTCAATTGGTTTAGTTTCCTTATTAAGGTACTCCTATGAACCATATTCAGAAAAAATTACCACATATTGGACTGATTATCACTACCAACCACTTGTAGAAGAAAAACAAAGAAAAGCGAGCATGTGGACTATAAGGTGCAACCATACGAGTGAGAATAAGATTTGAGACACAAGTCTCCAATTCAATGAGGAGCTATCATTGGAAGGAGGCAATCCCCTATAACACTAACGAGGGTGTTTATCTTACTTTCCATGGAGGAAGCTTAATGGTTGTTTGTCGATTTGTATCACTTAGAGAGGGGTTATTGGGGCCTATTGGAACCCAGAAAACTAGGAAAAAATAAAATCATCCAATTTTGTGAAAAAGATAGGTTAGCTCTGCAAACCACACAAAAAGACCAAAATAATTCTTCTTTTCAAATCCCAATAATTGCATTGGTGTTGGTTGGAAACTGAAAGCTAATGTGAAAAAAGAATACTGCAAAAGGCTCAAAAGTGAAAAGCCAAAGTTTTTTTTTTTTGAAAATGGGAAAAACCAATTACAAAAATGTCTTTTAGTTTGTCCACAAACACCAGATCTTGATGCCCCTCTCCTGAGTCTCCTGCATGTGCTAAAATTAAAAGGTTACAGTCAGAATTAACACAAGTACATGAAAATTTTGCCGTTAGCTTAAAATTGTGTGTAGTTTGGGAAGTTAAAATCTGTTTATTATTAGACAAATATGAGCTAATATGCACCTGGCAATTTTTGTTATTTCTTTGTTGAAAACAGTTTGCTTTGTTGTATTATTGTTAAGCTCTAGCAGGTGGCCTCAGTATCATTGGCAGATACTCCATGTAGGCCCTGATGGCTGCATTAGAGGCTCCTTAGAACCTTATAAGGTCATGAAAGGGCCTTGCATTAATGATGGACTGTGGCATCATGTTGCATTATCAGCATCTCCTGATCGGCAGTTCATGTTTGTTGATGGACATGTTGCATGCTCTATAAATGTTGGAATTGGACGTGGACTTCACAGGTGTGTCTATTAACAGTGTTCATTATTATTATGACTAAGCTAAGACTAAGCCAAGGTAGTTTTGCTGTGGCTAAAAAACAGTTACAAACATTTATAACAGTGCCTTATTTTTTTGTCTTTACTTGGTCTTATGGGGTTATTTTGGGTCTTTTGACATATAGAGATACTGATTTGAGTGCGACATTGAGGCACTTATTCTACCTTCATTTTCGTCATCTTCATCATCATCCATCATCTGCACTTCTGAAAGAAGTTAAGGTGTCCTCTAACTGCTCCCCGGTAAGCTCAGTTGCGAGAGTGCCTGACTACCGAACAGGAGGTTGTGAGTTCAAACACTGGCCGGACCAACAACCAGGGTCTTTAACAAACTGGTAAGATCATGGTGGCTGTGATCTAAGAACATGTCTCAGTTGAGATGATCATGTCATTGGGCGGTGATATTTAGCCATTGGCCTTCTCTCCTTCATCCTTTTTTCATTGGTCAAATTGAAAGGGATGTAAAAGAACCCACACTACTGTTTGGAAATAGCAGGGGATGTATCCCCAGTGGTGTGTTTTACCTTGCACACTTCATTCATATCATGGACAGGGTGAGTTACAGTAAGCTTATAAATGGACCGATAGTGACTGCCAGTAGTGGCCTTATATGCTGGTATCTGAGCGTATGTTTAACAGGGGATGTAAAGAGGACAATCTGTTGTCCTCTCATTCACAACATTTTAGTGCTTTGCCTCATCATGTAAATCCTCTTTCCTCAAGTTCTAACATCCTTATGTACTTTCAAGAGTTTCGAGGTCTCCCTCTATTACACTTCCCCTGCAGTTCACAGTTAAGAGCTGTCATGGACACTGTTCTGTCTTATCTCCTCAGTTTGTGGCCAATCCATCTCCACGTTCATCCTTTTGTCTCCTCCTCTATCAGCTTCTGTACTGCCTGCTTCCACAGCTCTTCATTTGGGGTTCTTCTGGGCCACCGCATCCACATTGTGCCCCTTACAGCACTTGTTAATGAACACAGGCATTTTCTGCTTCAGTTCTTTGGTAAGTCTCCAAGAGCACTGCATTCACATTTAACATAGAGACTCTCAAGTTAGTGACATGGAGCACCATGTCGCCATCACCCAGTTTGGTACTGACACGCATTAGCTTTGTCTTTGTGGGAATGATCTTCAGGCCACCCTTCAATGCCCGTGTCTTATCCTTGTTACCTTTTTTCTCTCCGACAACAAGGCAAGATAATCAACAAAACCCAGGTCTTCTAAGGTTGCCATGATGGGCCATTGGATAGCACCCCTCCTTAGAAAGGCCATTCTTACCCAATCGAGAGTGGTCAGATTGGATGACAGCAGCCAACATTGTCTGACCCCCGTTCTCATGCTCATCTCTGTAGACCTCTGATGGACAATAATGCACAACATACATGGAAAAACGTTCATACAGAGCTCTAATGATGGTGACTATCTCGGCTTGAATTCCTTACTGCCACGGCTTCAGAGTCACAACACCGCTCTGCTGACACTGTCAATGGCCCTTCGAAGTCTATTAAGTTGATGTATAAAGAGGACTGCCACACGATACTTTGTTCTACAGTAATTCTTAAATTATGTTGCTATCTGGTCCATACAGTTCTGATCATCTCAAGAACCCGCTTGCTGCACACTCAGCTGCTTGTCTACCTTGCTAGTTTAACAGTGGCTCAGTTCACCTTTTGTTTGGCGGAGTGATTAACAAACCTTTCCTCCCTTCATTCAGCGCCTTCTCCTGGTGCCATATCTGGTTACAAAGATCTAAGAGAACCACTCTCCCTTTCCACTGGTTTCATATTGTTACAGCCTGCTGCATTCTCGTTCTTAAGCTTCTTTATAACATATTTTGATAAAAGTGGTCTAGAATCTTCCACTCAAACCTCCTGTTAATCTCCGTCAAAGGCTTCACATCACTCCTCCTTCCATCCTCCTCAGCTTGCTCTACCTCTGACTCTACATATACCCTCTTGTCTTTTTTACATTTTCTCTTTGCCTAGTTTTTGGGACTCGCTATTCTCCTGAGTATTTGTCTTAGCAAATACAATGTTTGCAGCATTTTTTGCTTCCTTTCGGTACTCAATCTACCAGATCTCGTTTATACTGACTCACTGCTTTCTGTTAGATTGCGCATTCCCCAGCACCTCTTCGCATGCCTACAGGTATCCTTTTTTGATCTGTCTCCACTTGTCATCCACTAAAGGTTCTTTTTCATAATGTTGCAGACACTCGAATCTATTTTGCAGCGTCAGCTTAAACGGGTCTTTTGTCTTTAAGATGACCCTTAGCCTGGTACCCTCAGTATCCTTCTTTATTTTGGAAAACTTTGTCCTCACCTTTGCCATCAAGAGGCAGTGAAATGACCCAACATCAACACCACACATGACGCGAATATTCTGCGGTGAGCTCCAGGCCATATCTAGCTGATGTTCAGTTTTACCACCTGGTGAAATCCATGTCCTCTTGTGACAATTCCTTTGCCGGCACTTCGTTCCACCTGTTACTACCTCATCAACTTGAAAAAAATCAGCCCACCTCCCACCATTTCCGTTCATTTTAGCCCTTACTTCATGTCTAACTATCAACTTCTGTCTGCCGTTGGTGCCCACGCCAAGCTTAGCATTCATGTCTCCCATTACAATCTTATTATCTCTGCGTAGCCCCTGCTCAGACACTGCCTACAACACTTCATAAAAGTCGTACTTTGCCTCCTTCGTTGCATCGTTTGTAGGGGCATGACACTGTTTGACCGTGACCTGCTACCACCTTGAGTTGACCTGGCTCTGATGGTCCTCTCAGACACCAGCTCCCATTCTAATATACTTTGTACATCATCTTTTGAAAGAACTAAACTAACTAACCCCTCTCTCATGACATTTACCTTTATCCAGTCCAGAGCACAGCACAGTTTCTCCAACGGCCTTCATCATCTTCCCACAGGAGTTCCATTTCACTTCACTCACCTCAGGGATGCTGATTGCATGTTTCTTTATTTCGTTAACCACCTGGACATACTCCCCCCCACCCCCAACCCCTTCAACATTGTCCCGATTCGTGACGAACACGGCCTTTGGCGACAGCAATTTCATCGACAGTTAAGGCATTATTCGTCTTCCCTTCGCATGATGATTGGATCGTACGTTGTCATCTTTTTGCTCTGCTTCCCCGTAATAGGGCACAGTAACAGTGGGAACAATCTGTTAGCCCACCACCTAACGCCAGCCTGAAGGAACAGGGGATTACTCTTCATCTGACCTCTACTCTTCGACTGTTCAGCATTGAAGTAAAATACTCCAGCTGACAAAGCTGTCAGGGTCGTTCATCCACACAAACTATCTCACCAGGGTAGTGAAATGATCCCATGTCGATAAACTTCACCGTTATTATGTTTGATTAAGTTTACTTAGCAGACTAATCCAACAACATTTAGCACAGGAAAAAAGAGGATGGGCATGTGGCAAATACTAAACTATTAGTGTTTTGCCCAGTCCATACTTTGCTCCTGGAGAAACTTTCGTATACGAAGCATCAGTACGAAAGAGGGAGCAAAAGAGTTTGAGGGAATGTTTTTATGGGACTAGGCGGTTTGCGGTTTTTATAAATTTGATTGCGGCATTGTTTGGTTTTCAGTTAAAGTAAGTGCGGGCCTCCAAGTAGTTTAGTCTGGGGTAGGGTATTATAATCAGAGTTGGGGACTTTGTTTTTTCATTTCCTGCGAAGCGTATCAGGGATACTTGGTCTAGAAGTAGAAATTAACTGAAGTCCACCCATTTGTCTCTCAGATATTACATGAAGCACAGTCAGATTGGTAATGGAGTTATCAGCAATGGGGTATGCACACCTTGGGGAGATGATGCCATGCCTCATGGGCATTGTGGATGGTATCCCTTTCATGGCCTGGTAAGATTTATATTGTCCAGCCATTTGTGAGTGCCACCTTAAACGAAAGCTATGGTATTCAGTTGTGAGAGTCGGTCATTTTCAAATGGTGAAACCACACAGGGCTTTTGCTTTTAATTAAGTAAAGGTAATAGAACTTTTTGTGTCTTTGTATGGAGAGCCCCAGTCTGCACAAAATGTTGACAAAATAACCTTTAGCATTATTATGGCCTAAATCTGATAACAGAGAGGGAAAATGCATTTGTCATGTTTTCATGTTGATTTGGTCACCAATTTATTACTATTAGCAATAACTTTAAGACCGTGCGTTTGGTTTTTAAAATCTAGGTAAGGGAAGTCCGCATCTGGTCATGCGCGTTGACCCAATCTGAAGTGCGTCAAAACATGTATTTACAGAGAATTGACCTCGCTCAACAAATTGACAAGAGTACGCTGATCGGTTATTGGCCAATGAACAGACTCATGTCGGGCCCATGGCCCTGGCAAGGGTCATTAGTATCGTGTACCTCGCACTTAGAGGAACACAGAGAGAACAGTGTACATTTAAGGATTGTGTTCTCCAGTTTACCCTGACTGTGTCATCCGCAGCTAAGGGTGTCCTAGCGTAGCTCAGACTGTGTGGTGCGTACTCACACCATGAGTGTGTTCAAATACGGAGGCGTTTTTCGGCTGTCANGGCCTGGTAAGATTTATATTGTCCAGCCATTTGTGAGTGCCACCTTAAACGAAAGCTATGGTATTCAGTTGTGAGAGTCGGTCATTTTCAAATGGTGAAACCACACAGGGCTTTTGCTTTTAATTAAGTAAAGGTAATAGAACTTTTTGTGTCTTTGTATGGAGAGCCCCAGTCTGCACAAAATGTTGACAAAATAACCTTTAGCATTATTATGGCCTAAATCTGATAACAGAGAGGGAAAATGCATTTGTCATGTTTTCATGTTGATTTGGTCACCAATTTATTACTATTAGCAATAACTTTAAGACCGTGCGTTTGGTTTTTAAAATCTAGGTAAGGGAAGTCCGCATCTGGTCATGCGCGTTGACCCAATCTGAAGTGCGTCAAAACATGTATTTACAGAGAATTGACCTCGCTCAACAAATTGACAAGAGTACGCTGATCGGTTATTGGCCAATGAACAGACTCATGTCGGGCCCATGGCCCTGGCAAGGGTCATTAGTATCGTGTACCTCGCACTTAGAGGAACACAGAGAGAACAGTGTACATTTAAGGATTGTGTTCTCCAGTTTACCCTGACTGTGTCATCCGCAGCTAAGGGTGTCCTAGCGTAGCTCAGACTGTGTGGTGCGTACTCACACCATGAGTGTGTTCAAATACGGAGGCGTTTTTCGGCTGTCATCATGTCCACCGTCGTCTATTTGGGACTGTGATATCGCCTCAGCAGCAACAACGTTCAGAACGTTAGCCTGAGAAAACAGCCGACATTTTGTGACGCCACCACTGGTTTCCCTGCGAAATGACGTCTGAGGAACAAGCGCAGAAATTCCATACTGATGACGTGTCACTACCCAGATCTGAGTTGTACTTCTGATTGGTCGAGCCGCGAGGGAAATTTGCTTCAAGCAATAAGAAGCACTACCCAGATCTGGGTAGTGACACGTCATATGTGGTGGCATCGAGAATGTCGGCAGTTTTCTCCGGTTACCACCACACTCCTTCATTCGCACGCCATCAAAGAAAAACTGTGAACAAGACCAACTACCTTTTACAAAGCAGACTCCTACGTTTTGAACTGAACAGCAATTCGGGCTTATTATTGGCCTGGACTAGCGAGAGTTTGAATGAGACGTCGAAGAAGACAAGGCTAACGGCTTAGCGTAAGCTCCCTTTCACGTCATTGTGAGAAAAGGTGTTAAGTAAGCCTAGCTGGGAGACAACGTACCATCTCCTACTCCACCCTCTCAGCTGGGCCAACTCAGTTGATCATGCCTTAATGTACTTGAATGAGGACCAGACAAACAGTAGCTAACAACCCTATTTGGTCTCAACCGTACACCTCTCATTGTAAACTGACAGGACTGCTTAGCGCATAGGATTTAGGCGATGGGGCTAAGTAGGGAAATCAGACTTCCTTGCATTCTAACCATTTGTGCCAGTTTCCTTTTAAACTATGGGTTATGACGATTAAAGGTACGCTAGTCCTTGCCATCATGGAACATACTAGTAAAATTCCAAACTAGTCACTCTAGTTAGGTAGTCTCTTGGCAAGCAGTCAATGACTTTGAGTCGAGTATCTTGTAAAACGTCATTGTGCCACTTGGCGAAACCCCGGCCCAGTATAGATGCTACCTATACAGTCGAACCTCGATGCTCTACCACCTTCCGTAAGCGACCATGAAAGTGCTATAGTTTGAACCTCCCGTAAGCGACCCTGAAAGCACTATAGCTGGACCTCCGCCCCCCCGCCCCCCCGCCCCCCCAAGCGATCATCAGAGCACTATAGCGAGTTATAACTGCTCGTAAGTGACCATCAAAGCACTAAAGTAAAGCACTATAGTTAATGTTGAATCCTCTCGTAAATGACCATCAAAGCAATATAGCTGGAATCTTTCTTAAGTGATCATTTTAGCACTGTAGTTAAGGGGAGATTACAGTTGAATTTTGAGGGAATTGGGGTTGCATTGAGAATAAAAGAAAGAAAGATAGAAGAGGGTATACACGTAAACTAGTTAGTCCGCTAATTGGCTCAGGGTCACCTTGTTGTGGTGGCGGACTGTCTGGTCGTTTGTCTATTAATCGTTCACTTCAAATTTTTATTTTTAACTACCCTTAAATCCAATATTTTCTCATTTCTCCATAACTTTTTACATTTGCCCTTCAAACTTTCATTGATTACTAATATTCTAATAATCACCAAAAAATTAAAACTTATCGTTCCAAGAACTTCAGGATGAGTGATTTATTTTAAAATCGAATGACATTTTGACAAGATTTTCAAGGAAAATTGCTCAAGTTTATACAAACAAGGCGTTTAACTGTAATCCCTCTTAATGTTAGAGCCTCTTGTAAGCGCCCGTCACAGCACTATAGTTGGAACCTGTCGTAAGTGACCATCAAAGCACTGTAGTTGGTCACAAAACGAAAATAACGAAACTGGAAAACAGTTGACGCTGAATAATTTGGTACATTTAATGAACTTTGCCTTTGGCGTGGTCAACGTAATACTGAGTTAACTTTGTCACCACGTAATCATCTAAACAATGTTTTTTGCGACGTCAGTCATGTAAAGCATCAGATCTGCCAGGTCCGACAACGAAGTGCTGGCCTCAAATAGTTGAAATAACAAGAAAGTATTCAACAAATTTTACCTTGCAATTAACTTACTTTCAAATAACTTTTTGACTTGCTAAACTAAATAAATTACAATTAATGACAACTGAATAAAATATACAATTTGTTTCAAAGAATTATAGAAAAATAACAGTACTTTGATTACGCCATTTACAAGGTAAACC